AAGATTCTTTATATTTCAAAGGCTCTGTGGCTTCTTTGAATGTTGTTGCTATTTCATGGCACTAGTTCAGTTCTGTGGATGGTTTTCATATTAGAAGAGAATACAGTAGTGTATTTTAGTGCCATAAAACTTGTTTTCTAGACAAGTCATTATTTTTGCTGCTCTGAAAAATAGTGTTTCACAAAATTACTCTAGTCTCTCAAATGAAATACTACTCTAAAAGATTTTAATGTTTAAGATTCTAATCTTAAAATAGGCTTATATTCTGTGTAGCATTATAGAGAAGTAATATGTGGTTTCACCTAACTCTGAATATTATAATTTAGATATAAAAAGTAAAACATAGAAGGAAACAAAATAATTATACTTTTGTTCCATCTACCATATAACACTTCTGACATTACTTCTAAAAAATAATTTGTTTCTTAAAAATAAGATTTGAAAGAACTTATTATTTATTCCTTTTAGAATATCATATATGTGAGAATTCAGAAAATGGGTTTCTAAAAATTTAGGAAGTAGGCTAACTTGTAAACTGCTGAACAGTTTTATCCTAAAACATTAAAAGCCAATTCTTTGGAGACTTACAGTGAAATCATAATTTAGGAGCCTAATCCTCATAGAAGAGCACTTCCTTTTTTCATTTAAGAAGTACTTTGCATATTTTAAGCAAAATGTGAATGCATATATATTTTGAGGTCCTTACATAACTGTGTGTGTGCGGTAGATATGTATGTATGAATCACTTAACACAAATCATCTCATTCAGATTTTACTAGTATTAAAAATTGAAGAGTAGTAGTACTACAGTGAACTCAGTGCTCTGTCGTTTTTAGAGGGCGTTCTTATATTAGATACAGTATAGTTGAAGAGTTAAGGGAATGGCTTTTGCAGTTGATATACAGTGGTATATCATCAAGTTGTTTGCAAACAAAAGAGTTTGTGAATTGACGTACCACTGTGGTTGGATTTGAATTCTGACTACTCTGACTGTCTATGACCCTGGACAAACCTGTATTTTAAAAGAATTTCATTTTCATTTTATGGAAAAAAGATAAGACAAAATTTCATAACAAAATAATAGAATAACAATAGTTAATACACTATATGTTATCTTTAATGCTCAGAGTATAAAATATGGGCATAAAAATTTCTCCAGTAACTATTATCATAAACTGAGACATTAATAATATAACTGAATTGCATTTTTCCCTTTTCCATACTGTCCTTTCCCCTTTCACCCATCCTAGTTTCTTTTTCCTTTTGAAGAATTTCTTCCCTTTTCACAATATCTATCGCACATTTTAGACCATACTTTCACTTTATCACACCAGGGAGACAGTATGATGTTTACATGAGTCTGATTTATTTCACTAATGAGTATGGTCTCGAGTTGCATCCATTTACCTATAAAAGTCTCAAGTTTACCTTCCTTTATGGCTGAGTAGTACTCCTTTATAGGAGAATACCACATCCCAGTTGATGGGCATTTGGGTTGTTTCCAGGATTTAGCAATTGTGCTGTACATATATTACTGTGGTATAATGTTTTTTTAATTCTTATGGGAAAACACCCAGAAGTAATACAAGTGGAATGGGACTTCTAATCCTAGATTTTTGAGGAATTTCCACACTGATTTAGAGGCTGTGCCAGCAATAGTGGAATGTTCTCCCCGCCCCCTCACCCCCAGCACCTCCAGCATTTGTTACTAGTTGATTTCTTGATCACAGCCATTCTTTCTGGGGTGAGATGGTATCTCAGTGTTGTTTTAATTTACATCTCTCAAATGACCAATGATATTGACATTTTTCATGTATTTATTTTCCATTTATATTTTTCATCTGAGGAATGTGTATTTGTCTCAGATGCCCACTTTTGGATTGGGACTTTGAATTTGAGGGGGGAAGGTCTTGATTTTTTTCAGTTCTTTATGTGTTCTAAATAGAAGTCTTTTGTCTGAGGAACAATTGGCTAAAAATTTTTTCCCACTCTGTGGGCTGTTTTTTCACTCTGTTGATGATTTCTCTTGCCATGCAAAAGCTTTTTAATAAGGTGAGATCTCAGCTGTTGATTCTGCAAAGTTACTTCCTGTGCAGTCTGGATTTTGTTCATGAACTCTGTCTTCAAGATTTCTACCTACTTTCTCTTCCAGTAGATTTAGCATTTCTGTTTTAATGATTAGATCTTTGATTCATTTTGACTTTAGTGCATGGTGATAGACATGAATCTAGGTTGTCTTCAGCATATGGAGAGCCAGTTTTTGCAACATATTATTAAAGAGGCTATCTTTCTTCCAATGAACTTGTTTGGCCCTTTTGGCAAAGATAAGATGACTGACTGTAGTTTTGCCTGTGTCTTCTAATCTGTTCCACTGGTCCTCAGGTCTGTTTTTTTCCCCCCAGTACTATGATGATTTTATTATAGTAGCTTTGTCGTATAATTTCAAGTTGGGGATTGTGGTGCTTCCTGCCTTGCCTTTGTGCCTGTATTGCCCGGAATTGCCTTTGCTATTCTAGATCTCTTCTGTTTCCAAATGAATTTTAGAAATGTTTTCTCTAGATCTGTAAGGCATGCTAATGGTATTTTGATAGGGATTGTAATAAATCTGTAACTATTTTGGGAGTATCATCATTTTCACTATGTTGGTTCTTCCTATCTATGCGAAGGGAGTATCTTCCCATTTTCTGATAACCTTTTTGATCTCCTTTTTTAAGAGCAGTGTAACTTTCAATATGTAGATCTTTTACTTCCTTTGTTAGATTGATTCCAAAATATTTCATTTTTGTTTTGGATGCTATTGTGAACAGTGCAGTTTCTCTCTCAGTGTGTTCATTGCTTGTGTACAAGAATGCTATCGATTTTTGAGTGTTGACTTTGAACCTAGTTATGCTACTGAATCTGGTTGTTAAATCTAGAGGTCGTTTAGCCAAAGAAATTAGACAAGAGAGAGAGAGAAATAATAGGAATAAGGATAGGAAAGGAAGAAGTTAAATTATTATTCACAAATGACATAATACTGGATATAGAAGACTTCAAAAATTGCACCAAAAACCTGTATGTTTTACTTGGAAAAACTAGGTTAAAAATAAATATGTACTCTATATGTTTATTGTAAAGATGAGTGAAATAAAGCTTTCTTACACGGTTTCCAGGCTGCCACAAACAGCTAATAAATATTAGCTTTTTATTGATTGAGTTTTACAACAATTTTGGAAGAGGCCAAGAAAATAATTCTTTAAGGGTTTTGTGTAGAGCAAGGAGATAGGACTCAGAAAGATTATGTGACATTCCCACATAAAGCTAAATATGTGGAACAGTGAAGAACAAAAAAGCAAAATAAAAAACAAGACTTGAGATTGTTGGTATACTATCTCAGTTGAGAAGATAAACAAATTTATAATAACGAAGAGAAATTAAACATAGAAACAAATAGGTATGATTTCATACCTTCCAACTTTTAGATACTTTGGAGACCTATAGAGATACTTTATGTTAATATTAGCTATAAAGTTACCTTGAAATGAGTTAAAATAGGGTAGGTGAGGACATACAGCATGTGTCCAAACATGAGGTTGTTCCATGTTTATTAAGTACTAGGTAACAGAATTCATGAGTCTTTTTTTTTTTTTATCTTTTCCACTATCAACCCTTACAATATGGAAATGTGTAGGCACAGTATCTGACCTTAAGGAGTTTTTCAGTCTAGTAAAGAAGATAATTGTGTAAATGAATAAATTTCTGACAAAGGAGTAAATGTAATACTAATAGCAGGAATGAGAGATCCACAAAAAAATTAGGATAGAAGTTAACACTGTGCTTTTTTTTTCTATAAAGAGCATTTTGATAGAGATGGTATTTGTTTTTTTTAAAGAGCAATTAGAAATTTCCTAGGTAAAGGATTCTTGGTCGAGATGGTGTTTGATTTTTTTAAAGAAGCAAATGGGAATTTCCTAGATAAAATGCTGAGAATTTTCTCTTATGAGTAATTAATTTGCTTGTATTTCTCAGACATTGTACAGTACCGCTTCTTACTCTTTGTTCACTACATTATTTTTTCACATGCGTTTAGGATTGCTTTAATAACTGGTTTCTCAAAGCTTTCCCAACTCAACCTTCAGATTGAATGTAATTTGAAATTCCCTACCACTGTACATGAGTAACCATTTTACAAAGTTGTGACTGAAGCAGTGATATTTCTTTATTGGAAATAATATAAAATTATTTTTGAAAGTGTCTTTGAAATGTTTGAATTTACCTTGATACATTTGAGGTGTTTTGAAAGAGACTTAAAAAATGGATAATTGTATCCTTTGGGCTTAAAATTCACTGCAGGTTGCTTTAGAAGAGGGAATCTGTAAAATCTGATAAAGATTCACCAGTCCCTCCAATATTCTACTATTAAAGAGAAATAATAAGTTATGAGCATTTGTTTATGTTATCTGCTTTACCATATGCAGTGTAATGTAAGGCCGTTCCTGTGTTAAATGAATAAACACAATTATAGTTTTTGTTCAGTAGAGGAATCAAATTATTTACTAGCAAGACAGGATTATTTTAGCTCTTTTATTTCAAGATACTAGTCTTTTAGAAGGATTGAAAATTTTACTAACTCAGCTCTTGTTTCAAATACCTTGTTTGTATATCTATGTGTTGCGTCTCTCTCAAGATTGAAATTTAGGTCAAGTTACAACTTGAATTTAACTTTACTACAGAAAATAAGTGTGCCATTTTAAAAAACTGCATTCTAAATTTTAAGCGCAATAGATCAAAGTATGTCTTATTTAAATAAACTCTAAAATGAAGTCTCAATTATTTTCTTCCATACTTTCTTAAAATAGTCACTGTTTTCAATGTAAAATGTGAGGTTTAGCTTTATTAATTTCAAAAGAGATGAAAAGTTGTTTATTTTAAAATTTTAATGGTTTGCTTTCAAATTATGGAAATTCTCCTTTGGGACATGTTTCTTTGAATTGTATGTGACATTATTTTTATTTCTTAAGGCAATGATTAAAAGTTTCGTGGATGTCTACCAGCTTGCAAGTGCTAGAATTACTACATTAGAGAAGGAAATAACATCTCATCGAAGTCACATTGCAACCTTGAAATCAGAGCTGCACACAGCTTGTTTACGTGAAAATGAAAGTTTACATTCAGTAAGTCCTTGTATAGCATTTTTTTGTCTTTGGATCTTGGATTACATTTACATTTATGGTTCTTTTGCTCATAAGATCACTTGCCAATATGTATAATTTAGAGTAAATGATCAATCAAGCGACAAATTAGTGTGGAGAAAATCTTGATGGAAGAAAAGCAATTAATTTTTCCATTGTATCATGTATAAAGATGTGCATATTGTTATCAGTGCTGAAACACTACGTCAAGATTCCTTTGTGTTTGGCAGTGCAGCTGACAGTTGGATTTGGCAGTATGCATAGTTAAAGCTTGCAACTGTCTGAAGATTCAGTGTGTCCCATTAAGACAGAATATTATTAATTATGCGTATAACCAAAATGGTAATTAGAACATGTGATTATTCTCAGTAGAAAACTAGACTTATCCATAATACATGCCTAGCTAAAGACGCATGTTGTGATTCATCTATATGATTAAAATTCAGTTTTAGCACTCATATTATGTCTTAAAATTTTAGTCCATGATGAAATCTAGACTCATTTAAGACTAAAAATAATTTTTCATATTTGAATTGTGTTTGGGGAGTTTTAAAAAATTAAAATATTTGTGATATAAAGGCATGAAATAAACATTTAAACTTTTTCTCAAAAGGCAGATAGATATGTCAACAGTGAGAATCAGACAGTTACTAATAATTAGAACGTTTCTTTTCCCTTTTTGGTGTGCAGTGGATCAGGGTAACTGCTAATGAAAATCAGCATCATTTTGCTATTCACCTGTTGACCCATTTTAGATAATAATATCCAAAAGGAAAGGCTTGACTTAGCTAATTCCAAACAGATGCACAACTCTGGTTTGGTGCTTCACCAGCTTAAGATCTTAGCTTGGATGTCAGCATCCCAATGAAAACTTTGTGACTGTAATATTTAAAATGATAACACCTACCACCCCCAACTTGTTCACAAATGTTTTCTCTCACTGTCTTTCTTTTGTCCCATCTTGTCTAGCTAACTTTCATCTCCCTTTATTATTTTCTCCGTAGCATATGTCATCAACTGATAAACAATGTACTTTATCTGTTGATTGTTCGTTTGTTTCCTACTCTCTATAGAATACCAGTTAAATCCATAAGGACAATTTTGAATGTTTTCTTTACTACTGTGAATGTGTTATAGCTAAAAGCAATATGGGTTTCAGTTGGTGCTCAACAAATATTTACTGAATTAAAAATGTAGCAATTACTCCAGTAAACAAAAAAATAAGTTATGTGACTTGAGATGTGAGTTCAATTTTTAAAATGATTTCTTAGTAAGAAATCATAGTATTTGGACCTCCATCAAGAAAAATTAAATTGAAGAGAAAGCTCCAAAAAATGTAGTTGGATTTATTCTAGCTTCTGTCTCTGAAAAATATTTGCATTTCTTCCTGATAATTCTCTGATCCCACTGGTTAATTTTACATTGCTTAGATTATGTCAGCTATGTTGGGTTGTACTATTGTTAATTGTTAGTATTATTCATATAAAAATAATTATATTTTAAGAAAGGTAAGGTTTGATAAAGGGAAATTGTTTTTCCATCTGTTCAAAAACTTTATGTTATTGTATTACTATCTTAATGAAAGTGTGCTTAGTATACTCACGGAACAAAACTCTACTTTGCAATCTTTTTTCTGTTGTGAACACCTCTGTAGCATATGCTTATCCTCTCATTTGAAAGAGGTGGTTCTCTCTGGCAGTGATTCTCAAGAGGGCGCATGTATAATGTAAAAAATTATCCAAGCTAATTCTAACATGTCTTCTAAGGAGAATACTGCCCAGTTCTATATTTATACAGAATATGTGTTCTCCTATCTTTTTCCTTAATTGAGAATCACTATTTCTAAAACAGTAATAAATTTGTATGATAAATTTTTATTTTCAAGACATACTTATATGCATTTCTTATATGCATTTCTTGAACCTGGCAAACCTCTCTGAGGGAGATAGAAGGGCAGGCTCTTGAGGACTGGGGATTTGGCTCAGCAGCATAAGTGCCTGCCTTGCAAGCACACGGTTATGAGTTTGATCCCTGGTACCGATAAAAAATGAAAAAGACAAAAAAAAAAAAAGGAATGTTATCAAATGTAAATAACATACAATCCAACTAACAGAATTATTAAAAATACAAGATTATTTTTTCTCACATAGCAAGAAGACTAAAAGTTCGGTAAGTGATTGCCATCTATGGTTTAGTGGCTCAACTTTTTATGCAGTTTCTTTGCACTCCTTCATGGTTATAAGACCGCAACCTGGGATTTTTATATACATTCAAGTCAGAAGGATGAGATGACGGTGCAGTATCTGATACGTAAATACCTTCTGTGTGTTCATAGCTGTGCTTTGGAAGCCTTTTTACCCATTCAAAATATTTTTATATATTTAAATATTTATGTATTTTTAAAGAAGAGAAAGCCTTCCAACCTCTGAAAAAATTTTTACTTACATCCAAAAAGCTGGAAGGAGAACATGTGTTCATCCATGGTTATAATTACTCAAAGGAGAAAGGAGTTAGGAATGAATGGATGTTAGCTTAACTAATTAATAGTGTGTGTTATAAGTCAGATTCTGATTCCAGTTCTGTCAGTTGCTAACCATGTGGCCTAGGTCTCAGGGTTTTCATTTCTAAAACAGAGTATGAAACTGCTATCTAATAGAGATATTGAAAGGTCTAGCGAGAAGTGTTAAAATACTTTGGACTTGGCACTTACTGAATAAAAGAAAAAAAAGAGAATTAGCCATTATTTTAATCACTCTTATCTTGATAGAAAGTAATTGCTTTGTATCATCCCAGAAATAATTGTTTACTTTTTTTTTTTTTACTACTTTAAAAAAATCTTTATTCTTGGACTTTGAAAATAACTTTCAACACTTAAGAAATTCAGTTAGATTTTTTAAGAACTTTCATCAACTTACAAATCTAAAATTGGCAGCTATAAACTTTATCATTTTGTTCTGCTTCCTCCAGTAGCATTAATCATGTAACTCCTCCTGTACATCACCATCAGTATAAATCAGTGACTCAGCTCTCTGTCCTTTCTGTGGCCTTGTTCTCCTTCCATTGATCCAGTCTTCTCCCAAAACTGGTATATAGATTTAATGCAATCCCTATCAAAATACCAACAACCTTTTTCATAAAAATAAAGAATCCTAGAATTCATATGGACCCCACAGAGACTCAGTATAAGAAAAGCAATCTTGAGCAGCCGAGAGCACAACAGGAGCTACCCTAATCTCAGATTGCATGTTATGTTACACAGTACTTCCAAGAAGATGGCAGAACAGTTAAGCAGCAACACATCAGGCTCTGCAGATTTGGAATGCAGATCCTAGAAAGTAAAAACTTGTGGAAGAAAAGGAGGAAGGTGGGATCCAGGAAGAAATTGGGAAAAGTGGGCCTTACAGAGAAATTGCAGACACAGGTCTCAACACAGAAAAAGGGATAGGCAGTCTGTACTCTCTTCCTGGCACCTGACTAATGGTGTGGGAGGTGTGGGAAGGATCGAATCTCGAGAGCCACAGTGAAAGCTGAAGACTGCAGTGGCCTTCAGGGTGAAGCATTGGATGCTGCAACAGCTGGTGAGTATGTCCAGTCCAAGTGACTGCTGGATCTTCTGAAAAAGATGCCTGGTCAGATCCATTTTAGGGAGAGGCCAACTGAACCTGGGACTCAGAGCAGTCATGGATTGGTTTCAACTCAGGGCTCCCAGTGTTAAACTCCCACAGTGACAGGAGGGACTACCACAGGAGGTGTCCTTGGTCAGGGAGCTGTGGTCAGGCTGGCAAGAGATGCCCCGAGTGTTATAAAATAAATGACTCGGATCTCACTTCTATGATCAGAGGCCAGGTTCAACCTGAGTTTCTGTGGATTTGAAAGTTCAGGCAGCACCCTACATTAATCCTACTTCGGGCGGGTTTATTGCAGATCTGGACTCTTCTGCCTCTATTGGGTACCAGTGAGAACAAGGGCAGGTCTTGAATTAGACACTACTATAGAAATGTGGACCCTAAAAGATAATCACAGTTTGAAACCACACAGAAATTGCTTTTTTCTTTGCTTTTGGGTTTTTATGTCCTTGTGGTTTTAATTTTTGTATGTGCGAGGTAAACATTGTTTTGAATTGTTTTCTCATTCTTTCCTTCCCTCCTGTCTTTATGAGTTTTCCAAGGCTTGGGTAATCTTCCTTTGTTCTTCAGGCTAGTTTCTAATTGCTTTCTCTTCTTTTATTTCTCTATTTTTTTCCTCTACTTTTAAATTTCCTCCTCTTTTGGCTGTATTGAGTGCATATTTACGGTATATCATTTTCTGATATATGTTAGATTTTGTTTTGTTACAAAACCATAAATTTTGTACCTAGGGTTAAAGGTAGTAAATTATTAATTAGTCTGTCATGTGCTAGTCTGTGTTTGATACTATTCTTATCACTGATTGTACTACTTTAGCCAAGGTTACGGAGATGTATGCTTTTTTGTTTTTCCTTGTATGCCAATACCTAGATTGTCTGGGGTCATAAGCAATATTGCAGTCCAGTACCAAAGAACTGGGTGCTAGGTCTAACAGGCTGCAATTTTTCTTCCCTAATAAATATGATAAAAATGATCTGGAGAGAAGGGCAGAGAACAAAGGGTGCTTTGTTGCCTTAGTCTGGTAATCAAGGGGAATGCTATTGAAAATAATTTAGTATGGTCAAATTCATACTTTAAAAAAAACCCAAAAACCTCTTTCAGCTCCAGTGTTATGAACCAGCTGGATGTGAACAAGGAAAAAGGTCATGTCAGAGATAATTCCTGGGACTTTGATTTTTGAAATAAAAGGACCAATAATCTCATTTACTGAGATGGCAGACAATGGATCAGGAGAGAATAGTATGGATTTGGTTTTAAGTATGTTGAATTTGAGGTACTTGTGAGTCATTCAACTGGAGATGTCCAGAAAAAGATGCTTGAATGGAATTTGAGGAAGATACCAACCTGAAGATGTAT